TTGACTGAATTTCTCATGACAGTTGGAAGACGAAGGTGGGATGGGAGCTGAAAGAAGCAGCTCTTCATACAGTATTGGTGTAAGGTATAGGCCAACCTTTTTTTTCCAGGTGTGGTCTTACCAAACTACTGCTAAGAATGTGCCTTCCCACATACACTTTCTCCCAGGACTGACAGGGAAACTGTGAGAATGATCACCTAACTCCTTGTTATGAACTCATGCCGGTGACAAGGAGACGTTTAAGGCTGAAAAGTGGGTTTATTTTTCAGGAAATTCTTTACATGGGCTCAGTGAACTTGCTTAAAACCCTGTCTGGATATATGACTTCTTGGATAAGTTGCCACTGCAGTCTCCACTCAGCTTGCAAGACTAAGTGAGAAATGAATGAGAGTGTCAGCTAATGCCGATGGAGGATCTCACCCTGCAGTGGTCACAGATGAGTCTACAAGCAGCCCTTTTGATCTACTGGCAAGGCCTGACAGCGTGCGGTTCTGAAGTGGCAGTCTGGGTTTGTGATCTGAGGCGTGCTGGATGTGAGTACTGGCACGTGAACAGACATCAATATCTCATTGTGCAAATGACCACGCATGACTGCAAAGATGAAACTTTCTTCCTAAACTGTCTGAGCCAATAGGTAGTTATGCATTTCACTTTTTAACCCTAAGCATGCCAGAGGTTAGACTCATCACAAACTGTTACAGGTCAGAGGAAGCCAACATTGTTACCCACTAGGGTTCAGACATGGCTGTACTGCTACTAAACAAAAGGTGTCCGCCATGGAAACCAGACATTTCTGCAATCATAAATTCCATCACTTTAACAAAAAAAAAAAATGCAATAAAATTAAACACCCTTACCCTCCCGATTTGTTTCAATGCTTGAGTGTGGTCTCTAAGTGCTCTATACCATAAAGCTACCTGTGCCCTTCAACAAAGATATTTTACATATAGATTATCAACATGTTTTTCCAGACCAAAAGAACAGGAATTTAGGTTAATTTAATAGAAAAAATAAAATATGGAATAACATTGATTTTGGCCAGTATCAATTACAACAGAACTACGCTATTTTACAAATAACAACTGAACATTTTACACATGTACAGTATTTTTTTCAGTAAAAATTAATTTTGCTATAACAATGTGTCAGTTTTTTTAAAGAAATCAAAGATATTAATTTCTTCTCTATAATAGCGTTAGAGACATTTGTAAGTATCCAAACAAATTCTTTACAATCCATTACATAATTAAATCTCAATTATGAATATATATTTATATATAATATAAACTTAAACTTTGAAAGCATTATGTTCTAGTTAAACATGTATACTGAGAAATGAGGCAGTAACAGACTAGTAGTTAAACTAGCACAAACTGAATTCTTTTAAATCTGAAAATTTATCATGAAATTTGTAATGGGCACCAAAGGAGCTGGACTGGCCCCCTGTCATACCGATCCATGTTGTACTAGTTTATCTGCTCTCTGCTAAAGATGGCATGTTACCTCTATATGTTTGTATCCATTCATTTGTAAAACTTCCACAATCATTTTTGATCCTCTTTATTTTCTAACATATACATGCTTAAACACCTGCAATCCATTTTCTATTTGTGTGTCCTGGAAAGATAACTGGGAAAGACACTCTGTATGTTTTAAGTATTATCCCCTGAAAACAGTATAATTGAAGTTCAATTTTCTGTTTTCTGCTCAATGACTGTCTTTCAACAGTATGTTAAGTGAAGCTGATGAAGATGATTCCATTTTAAATGGAAATTTGTACTGGCAATCGTGTGCCTGGGTAAAGAGAGAAAGGCAAGGGCCGCTTCTCTCACCACCCAGGA